TTTGTGAGTCTTTTCCACTTCACCTCTATAGCCCCAACTTGACACAAGTTAATTAACTATCCTGCCATGGCGAGAAGTACACTCCACAATGTCTCAGTTGATTGTCGGTGGTTACTAGGTTTCAAGGAGAGTCCAATTCTATCTAGTCTACTTGTCTATGATATGGATGGAATACTTGTCCACTTCCATCGTTTTCCATCGAGATGCACTTAACAAACGAAATATATACAAAATTAAATATCAAATCATTTAACATAATAATAATTGCTATACTTTAGCGATTGAGATAAGTGTCACCAATAATTAATTATTAGTTATAAATGTCAAAACCTTTTAAAGGGTCTGTTTGGGAGGGATTTTTTACCCAAAAAAATTGATTTTTTTTACCGTTATTTTACTATTCCAGCCGTAATTTTTGATTTCTTCTGTCACATGTGGACCCCACTTTTCTTCTAACGGTCAAAAAATCAATTCTCAAAATTCCTTCCAAACGGGCCAAAGTTCAAAGTTTGTTGTGGGAAAATGAAGCTCTTCATTCTCCATTGCATGAATTGTGATATATTCGATCATGCATATTTTGCGATGCAAAAGAAACTGAACATGAACGTCAATATTTTGTTGCACGAATAGCTAGCTACATACTACATTATGTAAAACATCAAGATAAATGTATATGTTTACTTTGATAATATGAAGTATCCAACATTTTTGTTTATCTATGATTTGCTTAGACTGCTTATAGTAACATCTTCCCATTCACTTCATTTTAAATAAACTTAGATAAAGCATTCGATTCTTCAAATAAAAGCGTTTATAAGTTTAGAAAACAAGGTCAAATTAACCATGATATCCCAAATTTTTACCTAAAGATTGCTCAAGTTTTCCAACAATAAAGCAATTACATTTCAAATGCCTTTCGAGCTTTGAAGGCTTTTTGCTCATTATTGGTACATAGTGTACCTACTGAATCAAAAAAGTATTGTAGGACTTATATTTTGAAGTATTCCCATCAAATTATGGAAGCCATATTTCATATTTAAACGCCAACTTTTACTATTTGATTTATTCAGACTTTCATAGATAAATTTACACATATCAATGAGAAATATAAGCAAAAAGATTTTAAGAAAATAAAATCAAGGCAACTCCATTTTCAGATTAGGCATTCGTCTAATCTATTGCAAAAACATCTTATAATTCTTTATCTAATAGGCGATTATATTGCCACTACATTATTCTCTTGATGCATCAATTTTTAATTGTATTAAAATTCTTCAATTTTTTTTTTTTTTGTTATTGTACTTACGTCATCATTTTCGTCATATTTCTATCTTCAACGTTTTATTAATTAACACATCTTCTCCTTAGTTATTGTTTCTATTCAAGTATTTCGCTAGCATACTTTAAAATAAGGGATGGAAATTTTATCACACTTTTATATTTATTGTTTATGAGGGATAAATAAGTCATTATATTGCAAGTACAAACTAGTCTTTTTTATGCCCTTTTAACGGGCTTTTTGGGCAAAAGTAGGCATATTTTACAGAGTAATGATATTTTATTTAACATATCATTTAATGTCATATTAGCGTTATATAAAATGGAGTGAGCTAAATAACATTATTCATATTGTAAAACATGAAAAATTAATGAATGTTTAATGATAAGAACGCGGCACAAAAAAAAAATTAAAAAAATGAGAGCATAAATGCAACATCAAACAAGCTTTTGAACCTTTAGAACAATAAAAACAATGGTACATGAAAAAATAAATATTTTCAATATATCCACTTTATTTAATTGGTTTGAAAAACATATGACAAGGTTAAACCTAAAGTACGAGATTTTATATAAATAACTAAATTGTCCCAAAAAAGGGCTTTTCGCTCCGGCCTTTGAGTCCAGGCTCAATCCTTAATTCCTTTTGCGATCAGCTTGAGTCTGCTTCTGATGTAAGAGTTTCTTTATGCATAGTAGAACCTAGATAATTTAATACTCGATAGATACTTCTGATTAAATAATATTTTCGCTGATCTCGGCTTAACGGAAACGCGCTAAATTAAAAATTTGCTAAATTGATAAGATAAATATTATAAAAAAAAATAAAATTATATTGATCTCATGCAAGGGCGGATCCAGACCTTTAGTATTGTGGGGCCAAAATTTTAAAAATAATTTTTTTATTAAACAACATAATATCAATAAAAATAAGTTAATATGTATTTTGACAGTTTGAAAACGTCGTATAATTACATCATTATTAATATTATTAAATAAATTTTGTTACTTGTATAGTTTTGTTTATCATTTATTGGTAAATACTGAGCTAACATTGAGTAAATTAAATTGAATATAGAAATTAAATGAATTGAAATAAAATTCAAGTTTAACTTTGGAAGTAAATGAAATTTAAATTTAAAGCAAATATAATTCGAAAGTAATTCAAATTGCATTTTATCCGTAACGACCTTATAAAATTTATGTCATATTTCATGTAAGGCTTCAAAATGAAACGATAATATTGAAAAATTTATCATGCAAAAATAATAATTAAGTGAATTTTTTAAAAGAAAAAACGAGTTAAACGTCTTTTTTGAGGCGTATGTTTGATACATATTTAACTATTTTTGATATCCGTTTGGACCATTTAATATAAAAATGATGTAGTTTTCAAAACAAACTTTTACATGGCATAGAAGATTTGTGGATTCAGATAGCACATGATCGCAAACGAATTTTTAAAGTTAGGATATTATCGAAATTCTGAAAATACTTGTTTCAAACGTCCTACTTTAACATGTCATAACTTTTGTTATAGTTGTCCATTGCGCATGCCATTAATAAATGAGAAATTAGGCCATGAGCACTTTGAAATGGTATTAAGAATGCAATATTTTGATTTTATTGGACATCCCGTCGAGTGCATAAAAAAAAAAAATGGGGCAAAATTTTAATGACCCCACATGACCGTTCGCCCCTGATCTCATGTAATGTATAAATTAATGAGTTCTTGATATGTGGTGCTTATTATTTGATTATTAGACATTCTTAAAATATGTCTTAATCTTTATTGGTTTCTTATTGAAATTGATGTCGCTTTGGGTCTCATCCATAAACTTTTTCAAGATGATATGGAGTTTTGGTGTAGATTTTAACGGTGCAATCAAAAATTAAATATTCATATAATAGAATAATATATTATGTTGAGCAATGCATAATTAATTTTGAAAAAAAATAATAATAACTAGATTCATGAATTTTAAACAAACATACCGAATTGATCATTCATGAAACGGAATACTAAGCTCCTACTTTATTTAGGTTAAAATTATATTTTTAGTATATTTTAATAAAAAATGATGAAATTTATGATTGAAAAGTTTACAAAAAATTATGAATCTCATGAAATTCGTGATTAAAATTAATCGTTACTTTGATGTTATATTTTTATCACTTTTTAACTATACCAAATATGAGCTAAATTCAATGTACAATATTAGAAAATAAAGAATACTATCATAAATTAATAAGTTATTAATTAATTAACCAATTATTTAGCATTAGCTGAATTAATAGATTTTTCTCGAGTTCGAAGGCTATTAATTTGTAGACTTGATTGTAGGAGAGTATCGTTCATAGCCCAACTAGATTATTGAATTTCGATAATTATCCGAAAAACGAAATGTTAGCTAGATGGAGATGCTACCTTGTGGAGAAGAGCTACTTTATTAGCTATTAGCCTTAACTAATAATCAGAAAGGTTCTTCAAACAAGAGTGAATGAAATTTTTTGAAAAGAGGGACTCTCATAAAACATGATTATTTTCTGTTTAGGTTCGTTTAATTAAAAAGATAAGAAATGATCAATGAATTTTCTTAATCTACACAAACATTTTTTAATAAAGAAATAACTCTTTAAATTTGCACAATCATATGTAGGGTTGGACAAAACTCTCGAACCGAACCAAAATCGAATCAAATTGAACCAACAATTCTTCTTAAATTAAACATCCGAAAGGATATTTGAATCGAGAACCGACGGGTTTGGTTCGATTTTTTATTTTAGATCAAGAATAGAAGAACCGAATATCCCTAATATTTTTAGTTTATTTATTTTTAAAAAGTCAAATTATTTTATTTTTTAAAAAATAATTTTGCTAACTAACTAATTTAGTTCACACCTAAAAATATAATTTTCCTATTTCTAATTTTCAATTCAAACCCAATTTAATCAAATTAATTTAAGTTTTACACAAATCTGTTATTCTATCGTAGTGTCATTCTACCATTTTGAAGAAATTGAATTGAAGCTCGATAGTGTCTCTTAATTATTGTGAGCACACTATATTATTCTTCTTATAATTTTAACAATCAAATCTATGAATAACTTAACAAAGAGAGACGCAAAAGACACATGAGATTAGACTATATTATTTTCTAAGAACTAAAATTGAACATGTTATTAGTTGAATTAATATAATTTTGTAAATATTAAAAAATTAATTATATTATGGAATCCGAGAATCGAATGGAACTGAATCGAACTGAATGAAACTAACCCCAAACGGTTCTATAACTAAATTTGTACCTGTCGATTTCACTTACTAAATACTTGAAAATTTCGGATTCTACAAGAACCGAACTGACCACGCCCATCCCTAATCATGTGGGATATAATGCATCAAGTATGGAAAGTAAGTTCTGTTTGGTATAGATTTTATAAAATTCATGTTTTTTCAAAATTTATTTTTAACCACATTATAAAATAATTTTACAGTGATTCATAACCTCTTCACACTTGGGTTTTGATGCTTTTACATCAATTGCTGTACAGCAATTTATATAGCGCTCTTACATAGGTGGGCTCGTGATTATTTTAATTGCGGTCCCATCTCTCCTCCGTGTGAGAGGATTGTATCAATTGCTGTACACCTAACACACTTTTTCACACTTTTTAAATACACATTTTCCAAAATTGTAATTTTTTACAAAATCTATTGTAAAAAAGTCTACAAATCATTTTTTTCTCTGTCAACAAGAACTGGAAATGACATGAAAAAGAATGTCTGCCACACCACAGGGCTAGACAAAAGAACCTGGGACATCCCAAGATGAAAATTTAATACTCAACCTTATTATTCTTGAAAATTAAGATCTCTGCCTATCCTTAAAAGGAGTAATCTTGATGACCAAACCTGGAAAAACATCATCGGGATCTTGAATATGTGGATTCTCCTCGACAATATAAGGATCACCACACTTTTCACTTATGGTGTGCAAAGTCTCCCCTTCTCTTACAACATAAATTTCATCGCATGGCCTCTCCACATGATCATTCATCTGCGGCAGTGTATAATATTCTCCATCGCTCGACTCGCAGCAGCTTAAAACCAGCATTAATGCCAAGAACAATGCACAGTACCCACTAATGGCCTCTGCCAATGCTATTGACGATGAGTTAATACGCGACATGGTTCCAATTTTTTCGATATTTTTCTTGTTCAGAATTCTCTGGATTTTTTTTTTTTTGCGGTTTTTTATTTATTGGATTTGTATATATAGAGGATTAGAATTGAAATATGTGAAGAGGAGAAGATGTTTTTGTTTTCAACTGGTTGTTGGAGTGGGTGCAAGGTCCCGTTTTATGGATGGAGGGAGTTGAAACCGTTTCTTCAGTGTGGTAGGTAACTGTCAAACAATGGAGTTTACTAATTGGCATCATTAAGATATTGAGACGACTACGACTTGACCCTAATTACATGTTAAAAAAATAAAATAAAAAAATTGACAAAGATAAACCTCAAACTAAAAATTTTCTTACATATTAATCATACTTTCTAGAATAACATGAATCTCGCCATTAATTAAACTAGTTTGGTTGATATTTTGTACTCAACATAAGATTTGACTCGGGGCCGGTGGTGATCAACCCCGTAACAATTATATTTTGCTTTCTCAAAATTTCTTTGCCCCCAAACAAGAAGATCTTGACTCTGCTACCGAGTCGACAAAATTTTTCTGTGTTCTATCTAGAAGATTTAAAAGATGGTCCTAGAAGAATTAGTTTAACTAATCAAAAGGAAATAAAAGTCAGTGGAACTGCCTGATTTAATGGGTTGAGAGGAAAAATCTTAATGTTTGACTTGGTTTTTCATGCTCTAACTTTTAAGTAGAGTTTGTGTCCTAATTCTTGAATTTTTCTTCCTGTCCTTTGCTTTTTTAATTCTTAAATGCAAGATTTGACTTGAATGAGTGTTTGGTTATGGAAAATTCATACACGAAATGAAACCGTCAATGCTGGTGCTAGTCATTAAATTGGCACTCATATATATTAGTAATTGTAATGATATCATGCTGGCATTTATTGTATCGTACTAGTATAGTCTTTGGTGACATTTTGTATTGAGTAATGTTATTTAGTCCCACTGAAATTGTATCCTCAATCTAAGTAGCATTGGATGATAAGCTAAACGAATGGTTAATTTCACTTATCAATTATGTTACATCAGCTAAACTGTGATTATAACTTTAGTGGGACTAAATAACAGTACTCTTTTGTATTATTTAAACTTGAGACATTTTGATGCTATAGAAAATCAAACGCATGTACAAAACTGTGATCGATGAATATGGATGAGCTCGACTCTCACAGCAAGAGTTTGGGAAAAATTAGTCATTAGAGAATAGGCATGATCTCTACGACGAATCCCTCAACATGAACGAAACTCTGGGCATGAGCTGAGGCCATTCCTCCAGAGGAGGTCCTGTTCTATGATGATTGTTGATATTCAAAAATGGCGCCAATAGATGCTCGATCTCGGCCCCTCTATACCTGTACACAAAGCACCACGTTAGGAGGCAAAGGCTGCTGGCCAAGAAAAATATTCGACGAATGTTTGCACTCCGACGATTTTCGAGGAATGAAACTAATGTCCCTATTGCCCGAGGCTATTTACTTCGAATCTTTTGCTAAAGTTTTATAATGGGAGTTGATGTCCCTATTTTTCGAAGCTCTTTGACTTATATTTATATATACACCTCTTTTCAAAGTTTACTCTTCTGTACAAAGGCATCATCCATGGTGTCTGATCGATCCATGGAATGTTTCTTCTTTTTATTTATTTATTTATTTATAGTTAATGACATAAGTCTACCCTTCTCCGTACATTGTGGTTTTTGACATACTTGCATGGTGGATAGCTCATCCATGCGAGAGACAACATAAGCTTTCATTCTGAAGTTAAGCATGGCCATGTTATGGCAAAAGCATAGGCGTAATGAGCTTTCTACGATTGTAATTGTTAAACTAAATTTCTTTTGGGCTGCCTCACAATTTTTGGCCCATTTGAGCATAGACCGGGTCACATTTAGTTGGGCTGCTTAGTCCTTCACTGTTGAAGATTGAAAGAAAACGTGCATATGCTAAACACGCTTTTACTGCCTCTAAAGGATTGAGTATTAGCCACATTTATGGCTGATACTCATCCCTTGGATCCCGACCCTTGGATGACCAGATATTTTAACTTGGTTTGGCTCTTCATTCTTGTAGAAGCTTTGTGACTCTCTCTCTCTCTCTCTCTGGCCTTTCCCTTTCTCTGAGTGCAGTTAGGGTTTGATGATTTTCTTTCTCTGTAAATTCAATATTCATCTTAGTGGTGAATCTTTCATACGTTGTGTAAATGAGAGTTGAGTGCTTTCATTGTAGAGGCTGATCTTTGTGATTTCCTATAGAAAAGAGGCTAGAGAGATATATCGAAGAAACATTCTGTTTCTTCATAAATTTGTAACATTTTTTGGTTCTTCTTAGTGGATCTTGAGCTATATCTATCTACAGATGCTCAACGAGTGATTAGGTCGAAAGGTTGAACATCCGGGCCCCCTTTTTGGGGCGAAAAATTCTCGTGTTGATCTTTTGTTATTTTTGCAATTTACTGTAAAACGTCAAAGCCACGAAATAATTTCGATCTGGACCTCAACAAGTGGTATCAGAGCGAGTTATTGTGTGGAAATTTTTTTTTCGTCTTCTTTGTTTCCAAAAATTTTTTGTTCTCTGTTCGCTTATTGCAGATCTCAAACTTTCGAATCAATTTTTAGAAAATAAATTTTTGTTTTACACAATCAAAGTTACTTTCAGAAAATATAAACTGCCTTCTTTGAAACTTCTATAACGCGAAGTTAAACTCGTTTTTTGATTTACAGTTTCTATTGGATCTCTGAAGTTTTTTATTTTTTATGAACTACTGGATTTTCTTTTCTAACTTGATATGGTGACTCGTGCTCAGTTTGACTAGTTGTACCGACTCACTTTGTGTTATGCTGAGTTCTTCATTTTCTTGTTGAGTGCATACTGAGTCTTGGTGACTTCCTAGTTTTTCTTAAACCTGGATTCCTAAGCTTGATTCGAATCTGGCATATTCTTGGTGCTTTCCTTAATCTAAAACTGTCGAGTTTCAGACTCTGGTATTTTTTCTTGAAACCCTCTCTATAAACTGTCACCCCATTTGGTGTGTTTTGGGATTGGTTATTAAGGTAAATAATTCTCCATTACTTTCTTTTGTCCAAGATCTCCTGAGAGAATCTGGAAATCTGAGGGAGGAGTGGAATTAAGAATTATCAGCCCTTAAACCTTTTTCGAAACATCATTTATTGACTGTTTGAATTGTATAATAAGTAGGCATAAATTTTTTAGACTATCCTGCCTTATTATCTATTTTTCGTTTTACTAAGTATAATAACTTGCCTGAATCATCATACTCTGAGTGTTGTATGATAATTGCTGTGTGCTAGCATCTGTCATTATGTCCACTACTCATAAATTTGAACTTGAAACTTGGTCTGGCACTGGAGACTTTAGTCTCTGGCGCTAGAAGATGAGGGCATTACTTTTACAACAAAAATGTGTTGCAGCCCTTGATGGTCAATAGGCTGCAGAAATAAGTGCTTATAGGAGACAAAAGTTAGATGATACTGCATGGAGTATTATCTTCTTACACTTATCTGATAGTGTTATTAGAAAAGTAGGTGAAACCACCTCTACTGCTGCATTGTGGACTAAACTGGAAACTTTGTATCTAACCAAAACCATGCCAAATAAATGTTATCTTCTTAGGCAATTCTATAACTTCAGGTTTGACCCATCATCTATTCTAGAAAAAAACCTTGACAGATTTAATAAACTGATTCAGGACTTAGATAACTGTGATGAGGAAATTTCTAATGATCAACAAGTTGTTGCTCTTTTAAACTCTCTAAATGATAAGTATAAAGACATCAGAAATGCCCTAGAATATGAGGGTCAAGAACTTACCATAGATAAGATAACTGCAGCTTTAAGAAATAGAAAACTTGAACTAAAGGCTGAATCAAAAGACCTTAAGTATGGTGAAGGGTTGTACATAAAAGAAAGGGTGAATCAAATCAAGAAACAATATCAACAAAGCTCCAATTTCCATAAGAAATGGAAATCTCCAAATCCCAAACTCAAAGAAAAGAATAAAAATCATGTGAAGACAAAAAATCAAATCAGGAAGTGTTATTATTGTGGAAAGACTGGACATCTTATAAAAGTGTTTTAAAAAAAAAAATTTGATATGAAAGAAACAAATAATCCTGATGGTTCTACAGTTGTTGCCTGCAAAAATGAACTTGACATTCAAGGTGTTGTTCTTGTCAACACCTCCTCTAGAGACCCAAAAGAATGGGTCCTAGATTCTGGATGTACATTTCACATGTGTCCCAAAAGAGAATGGTTTTCTAAATTTGCTGAACTTAGTGGAGGGCAAATTCAAATGGGAAATGATATGAGTTGTCAAATAAAGGGTAATGGGAAGGTTGAGTTGAAGTTAGAGAATAACTATATACCTGAACTACAGAACACTAGATATGTGCTAGAACTTAAAAGGAACCTTATTTCCTTAGAAAAGCTTGATGATAAATACACTATTATGATTAATAAAGGCATCTTAGAACTACAACAAGGAAATAAAATTGTGTTGTCCTCCCCTAAAACAAATGGTATATATACCATTATTGCAGAACCAATTGCCAGTTACTGTAGTGCAGCCTTAAACTCTTAAATGAATATGTCCTTAATTTGGCACAAAAGACTTGGCCATATCCCTGAAAAGGGACTAACTATTTTGAAAGACTTGGTTGTTTTGGAAATGATAAAATTGAAGGGTTGGAATTTTGTGAAAACTGTATACTAGGAAAACAGAAAAGATTACCTTTCAAAATTGGAATACATAAATCCACTTCAATTCTGGAATATTTACATGCTGACCTGTGGGGTCCAGCATCAATAAACACCTTAAGTGGATTTAAATACTATTTGCTTATTGTTGATGATTTCTCAAGAAAAATCTGGACTTTCTTAATGAAACAAAAATCTGATACCTTTCATACCTTCAAACAATGGAGACTCATGATTGAAAATCAAACCAATAAGAAAATTAAAGCACTGAGAACTGATAATGGACTTGAATTCTGCAACCATGAATTTGATATATTTTGCAAAGAATTTGGTATTCTAAGACACAGAACTGTTACACATACTCCTCAGCAAAATGTAGTTGCTGAGAGAATGAATACATATCTATTGGAAAAGGTAAGATG